TACACCCTATAAATATTTGTTTGTTTAGGTCGCTTTTGTGCATGCATATATATCGAACGATAAAGTACGTTCTTATCTGTCACTGAATACAGTAGCAGTTCTATTATCCCGCCGTACTGCAAATTTTGAGGTATACAAATTTGTGCCTCGATACTTCCACTGAAAATGTGCACACGCTCGTCTGGGCTACTACCATGCAAATATTTGAGGAATACTTCCCGCTTCTAAAAGAATTTTGCACTGAAATTATTGGAATATTTCGTCGAAAACGTTGAATTTTTCTGATACCTTCGCCCATCGATTTGGCGCGTTTTGGCAGATGGCCCGTAACTACGTCGATTTTCTAGGGGTATGTACAAAATCTGTGTGGTTTTTGATACAGAAATGCAACTGTACTCTGTCAGAAGCGGTTCTAAGAGAATTGTTTGCCTCAGAATACTTTTATAACTGCACGTGTAAGCCATCTTTCTCTCTCATTGCTTATTGTTATAGGTATCATGTAATATACTTATATAAACATGATATTAGTTTTACAGTCTGTCGTGTGTGTAATTTGTCCCCAGTCTCGTACTGAGGTCATATATCTGATCCCAAAAGTTCATCTGACCTTCTACATGTGTTTGATTTTCAATCTGTTATATTTTACCTTGTATGTTATCTGCAGTTTTCTAAAGTTATCAATCTGACCCCTTATTTTTTCTTTTCTTTTCTATATAGCAAGCTGTTCTGGACCGACCAGTGTTGGTGGGAGGGATCATGCTCATATGTATTTTGGTGGTACGTGGTGTAGATTTATTGCCCTACATTACCTTCATGGAGGGATGGGCTATTTAAAGTTTACTCGGAGGTGCTTTACATATTCCAAGAATATTTTTTAGGCAGAAACTCTCTCGTCGTGATAGTCTTTTTAACTAAGAAAATCTGCTGATCTATTTCTTTTTGTTCATCTAGGCATGGGCTATATACAGTCTACCTGGGTTTGACGAAGAGGAAGAGTTCGGGGAGTTGACGGAAGCCGAGAGCGCTCTTCGTGATGCTATCATGACTGGGTATGTCTACTGTATCTAATAGCTTTGTGGTTCTGCTGTCCATACTTGGTTCAATTTTTTTGTTGTACATGACAAATCCGATTAGAATCAGTCATCGATCATAGCTAGGTGTATCTGCTGTAATCAATATTCCCATCAACATATGTTGAACATAATTGGCACCTATGAGTTTTTTAATTTATAGTTGCTGTGTATGGTTAATCTGATGGAAATTAGCTATCTATAACGACTAGGCATCATGCTGCAATCGACCTTCCGTTTGCGACTACAATGGACTCAACCTTCCTTTTGCGACTACAATTGACCCAACCTTCCTTTTGCTACTGCAATTGACTAAACCTTCCTTTTACGACTACAATTGACTCAACCTTCCTTTTGCGAATACAATTGACTCAACCTTCCTTTTGCGAATACAATTGACTCAACCTTCCTTTTACTACTACAATTGCGAATGATTTAGTGCGAACGACGATACAATAAATAAGGCTAAGAAAGCTGTATACGAGGAACGGGTAAAACACGGAGGACGACCCGTAGCTGCTGCACCCGTTGCTGACAAGGCGGTGAAGCAACCCAAGAAAAATACAAAGCTGATGGACGGAAAAGTGAGCGAACCAAAAGCAGAGCAGAAACCCCCGAACAAATCGAGCAACAAAGGCAGCAAAGGGAAGAAGGAGAAGAAGAAATCGAAGTAGAGTGATGTTTTTTCTGAGAAGATCATGTATATAGTAAAAATATTGCAAAATATTTTTAAGCAGCCAACTTGTTTATTCCTTCTGAGGAGAGGAGGTTTGTGTCAAGTTCTTTTTTTACTAAGTTTCCAGCTTTGTTGTTTGCTGTGCTCGGATTTTTAAATATCCAATACGCTTGCCTAGATTCATTAGAATGATGGCGCAATGAAGGGATACACCGTATTGTGGCTTTATATTCATCGGATAGTGGTTACGCAGGTATATACACTGTACTGTGCTTTTAAATTCGTCAGGATGATGGTGCTACGAAGGAATATACACCGTCTTGTGCTTATCAATTCATGAGGATGGCCGTGCTAGTTCCGTTGGTCAGTTGCACGTTGAAAGTTGTTTCTATACCATAGACCTTTCGTCCCACCACGCCCACGAGCGACATGTTCAAGTCCGACAGCGTGGCAGTAGTTGTGAGTCTTGCCACACAGCCTTTCCCCATGACTCTAATATGCGTGGGTGCCCCATTGGCAAAAGTCATCCGGGCGTCTATCTCACACTCATCGCGGTCCATACGTGACTGGTAAGAGGATGCCAAATCATCCATCCATTTTCAGAGTTAGCACCGGGAAGGTATTAAAACCCGACACCCATTTGGCGGCGTGGTATCCCCTCTCGCATACCATACACGTCGTACGGTTCTCATTCTCAAACGCGCGCAGGCTGGCTTGGTGCTGCATGTACGGGTCCGTTCGATATCCAAGTCAATGGCTGGCCACCTTGTACCCCTCGATATTCAATATATCATCCATGCTTAGATCATGGCTATGTTTGTAGGAAGTCTCATTGCAGGAGCGGACGCCGAACGAGTTATTTCCAATTTCATTCCAACCGTGACAATTGTACTCTGCGTCAATCTCCTCGGGTGTACTTACATCGTAATATACGCGTGAACAAAGACACTGGACTGTCCATATAAGGTCTCCATTTCCGTGTTGAAGTCTGATTGTTCTTGAGGGGTGAGTAACTTATCTTACCGCCATACCCGACTAGGGCTTCCCCACGGAAACCTTGGAATTTGTTTGCGGGCTTGAGATCCTTTCGCGTGTTGTCGCCTACCAACACCGTACAGCCACTTTCCCGCGTGGCTCTTAGCGATTCGGTGTAGTTCACCCCGGGTATACGAGGTGTCACTATCGAGTGAGGCGGGTGTGTAGGCCAGGTATGCTTGGCTTGGCCTGAAACGTTTACATATAGAGTGTTGGTGATGAAATATTGGTTGCGCGTCAGCTCCAGGATAGTGAATATTCGGAAGGAGGGTACTCAGATGCGTAGATCATATCCTGGAAAACGCACAAGAAAATTACGATATATTGTTAGAGCCAATCAAAAAAAAATATTTGTACATCCTTGAAATAGCTTGTTTTAAGCACGATGGCGTATCAAAAGTCGAAAGCGTGTGTGTGTGTGACTTGTGTTAAAATGGATACACTTACAATGTCCATGAGCTTTGAATAGTTACATTGAGTCACGGTGGTTTATTTGTGACACCCACGCAGCTCTGGGTCAACAGTGTAGGTACTCGGTGCTGTACAGTTACTATGGGTACAGTACAGATCGTGATGGGACCATGTATGAGTCAACCACAGAAACTCGTCTCTCAGTCGGCGAGAAGCTATGTTCAGATTCTCACGTCCTTCGCTTGCTGCGATACTAGTTTCGTACTTCACATATGCATCGTATCCAAATACGTTCAATTCCATTTCTACTGTATAGTTAACATAGCTCGCATATTCTCTTGGTACAGTTTTGTGTTCTCTAAATTTTCGATATTTGTATATATAAATATATATATGCCGGACATGCGGTAGTCATAGGGGTACATCATGTCGTCGCTAACGTTGTTCCGGGGGTATCGCGTGTCGACATTGAATGTACCCGAACTCGCAAATACGTCATCGATCTGCGTCGATAACAACACACGGCGCTGGCCGAAAAGACTCCTAGTGTCATCCACGTATGCCAGACAACATGTAGAAGAAGCATCAAACAATGCCTACTTGTCCAAATTAAAAGGAAAAACCATACCGGTGAACCCAGCCTTGTCATCTTCGATAGTACTTGTGTACCATCTTGTTATATATACATAAGACAAGCTCGGCGAATAAGTCTGATTACCAAAATTATTCTGCTGGGAGCGTACTCACTTAATGATTTAATCAATTATATAATTAAGTGCGCATATTCCCAACATAAATATTGGTATTCAGTACTCTTTTGCCGAGTCTGGCTTCAACATATTTCAGAGTAAAAACTCTGCAGAAAATGATGTACCGTAAGGCCTACGGTGACACTGTGTTATATTTTGGATAGTGTGACTGTATGTACATATAAACACCACAAATTGCACACAAGTATCGAGTTCATTTATACAAAATGAGCAGGTGAACAAAATGGTAGAGCCACCTGAAAAAGACAGTTGAGCGTACAAAAATTTGAGCGCCGAAATATCTGACAACACCTTTCTGTCCATTTAAGTAGCGACTAAGTCCATTTCTATTAGCACACATAGTGTGATTCGGTTCACTAATTTCTACCTCAGTTTCCGGCTTCAAATTCTCGCCTCGCACATTTCATCAATGCGTACATGAATATAGTAATTATCACAATACTATTCTGATAATTTTCGTAGTTGTTTGGTTTATTCTAAATGAGTTTGGATGCGAATCTTGCTGGATTCACAACTAGAAGTGTTATTTCTTTGTTTTTGATTTCAAAATCCTATCCATATAAGAATCCAATGGCCCACCCGATGGTACAACCTCGTCAAGACAACCACGGCAGCTCACAGTGTCCCTAGATGTTCCAGAATCAAATAGATTCGTCGAACTATCGAGGTTTTGTGACACACCTGGGAAAGTGAACAAATCTTCAATTCACGAAACTCCGATATAACTGCACCCCAGAGAAATGTCAATAAATGTATTTGAAAGCGTGTACTTTCCACACTCTACTGGAATGCCACTAGCTAGTCTAATGCATATAACTTGTTACAGGCAAGATATTGTGTTGTGGATCCGATAAGCTGAACACTCTCCTAGACGATGACAATATTCAAGATATTAAGCTTTTTAAAACGACACGCAAACGCACTCTAGGATGGAAGCCAGCAATTTACAAACTGGATCGCAATTAAAAGCGACGTAGAAATATTCGAAAATATCGAAGAAAACACCATGAACCAGAGCAAAACACAACAATTCGCGAATAATCGACTTACTCAAGCTGCAATGAGAAAGCGGCCTTTCATCTTCCTCTACTTTGTCATGCAGAACTGTAAATACAGGAAGCAGTACCATTGTGTGTGAAATAGAAGTAGCATGACAACAACATGATATATATATATATATATATATTAAAACGCGTATAGTGCGCCCAAAAAATGATCGTATAGTAAAGGTTATACACGAGACGAATTTCACAGGGGTGTTCTAAC